GGGCAATGGATATGGGGGTTTAGGATAGATTTTAATTGAAAGTGCGTTGGGTGGAGAGATAGGTTGACAGGGAGAGTTTTACTGTAACTGTCAGAGGGAAAGGACCTTGCAGTGGTGGGGGGGCAGAATCGGATGAGGGGCAGTACATCCAGGGTGTGGCAGGGGATGTGACGAAGAGAAGCAGTGGTCCAGCAGGAAGAGGAGCTGTAAGAGTCTAGCAACAGGTGAGGGGGTCCGGAGAACTGCAGGGGGTTTTTCCATTTGCCATCTTTTCGTTTTAGGGCAGTGGAGAACAGATAGTCTTTGGAAAGGTCCTTCTTTTGGTGGGCAGAGGGGGCTGGATTCGGAAGGCGTGCTTGCAGAGTGAGGTGCAAAGATTACCTAGAAAGGTTGAGAGGAGGAATTGGGGAAGGAGATATGCAAAGAGGGGCTTGTGAGGGAGGAGGGTGTCAGTGGATATGGGCCCTCACAGCGGGTGCTCAAAGGATTCTAGTTGGGTGTCTGTTGGCTGGGGATACTTTATGGAAGATGGGTGAGAATGGGAAATATGCCTGTTGAGTGGATCAATTAGAGGACAGCAATGGCCCGTCAGCCAGGGTTATGGAGAATAGGGGATTGGGAGGGGACCAGAAAAGGTGAAGTTGTTTTGAAAGGTCATTTATGGGTATGGGGTTTGGGAATGAGTCAGTCTTTAGTAAAAGCTGTCATTTCATGGGGGAATCTATCCATGAGAACAGGGGGCTGGGATGGCTAGGGAACGTTGGACCTTAGTGGAAAGATAAACCCAGCAGTTGGAAGAGAAGGTGGAATTAGTGGGTTCAACTAAGGAGGGCCATCCAGCTGTTGGAAGCTGAAATCAAGGGGAGAGTAAGAAGGCCCAGAGGAATGTCATGACCAGGTATTAATTTTAGTTTTGGGAAGGAGGTGAAGGGAAGAGGATGAAGGGTCAAGGAAAGAATTTTATCTGATCTGGGGTGAAGGGGATGGATGTTCCTTATAGTCAGAGTTCTTCTCCAGCATCCAGTATTACTTCATCAGATGTGATGGGCAGGGGGACCAGTCAGAGGTCTTGTTTTATCTGTGCCAGGAACTGGAGCTGCTGTAGGGTGACGCTGTCTCAAAAAACCATGCCAGGTGTGGTGGCTCAACTTTTAATTCTAGCACCAGGGAGGCAGAAGCAGGCAGACCACTGTGAGTTCCAGGCTAGCCAATGCTACAGAGTGAGACCATATCTTTAAAAAATATATATATGCTGGGCGTGGTGGCACACACCTTTAATCCCAGCACTCAGGAGGCAGAGGCAGGCAGATCTCTGAGTTCAAGGCCAGCCTGGTCTACATAGCGAATTCCAGGTCAGCTGGGGCTACAGGGAGACCCTGTCTCAAAAAGACCAAAACAAACAAACAAACAAACAAACAAACAAAAAACTGTGTGTATAGGGACCGGAGAGATGGCTCAGTGATTAAGTGAGGACCCAGGTTTGGTCCCAGCACCGCTGTGGCAGCTAATAATGGTCAGTAACTCCAGTTCCAGGGGATCTGACACCCTCTTCTGGCCTCTGTGGGCACTATATACACGTGGGCACTTACACACATACAAGCGAAACACTCATTTACATAAAATAAAAATTTTAAAAATAGGGATTGAAGACATGGTTTACTGGTTAAGAGCACTGGGTACTCTTGTAGAGGACCTGGGTTCAATTTGCAACACCCATATGGTAGCTGACACTATCCATCCTCTAGTTCCAGTGGACCCTGACACCCTCTTCTGACCTTTCATGTACACAGTACACAGTACAAGAAAAACACTAATACACATAAAATAAATTTAAAATAAAAAATACTTTTATTTTTTAAATTTATTGTTATTTTACGTTTATGACTCCTGTACCTGCCTGCATCCAAGTGCACCTGTGTGTGCAATGCCTGCAGGGGACAGATGATGGTGTCAGATGCTTTGGAACTGGCATTATGAATGGCTGTTAGCCCTCATGTGGGTGCTGGGAACTGTTACAAGCTGGAGTTCGCACAAAATCACCAACATCATTTTAGTAGAAAGTAGCACAGTAACATTTTATTATGACCAGCTGGGCTGCCTAATCTTGTGAGTAGAAGCAGCCCCAAACTATTTTTAACAAGAGTTTTTAAAGGATTACAGGGGCTTTATTTAAAGAAACATCCAATTAGAAGTGTACAATTTGAGGGGCTGGAGAGATGGTTCAGCGGTTAAGAACACTGGTTGTTCTTGCAGAATACCTGGGTTTGAATCCCAGCACCCACATGACAGCTAACAACTGTCTGTAACTCCAGTTCCAGGGAATCCAACGGCATCTTCTGTCCTCTGAGCGCACTGTACGACACAGGTGTGCTTACCTACACACAGGCAATACATGCATACACATAAAATAAAAATTAAAAAATTTGGGGCTGGAGAGATGGCTCAGCGGTTAAGAGCACTGACTGCTCTTGATGAAGAGCTGGGTTCAATTCCCAGCACTCACATGGTAGCTACAAACTGTCCTTAACTCCATTTCCAGCGGAATTGGAAGCCCTCTTCTGACCTCCATGGCATTGCACGACACGGGTGCACTAACATACATGCAGGCAATACATTCATACACATGAAATAAAAATTAAAAAAATATTTTTTTTGGGTCTTTTTGAGACAGGGTCTCCTTGTAGCCCCAGCTGTCCTGGAATTCACTATGTAGACCAGGCTGGCCTTGAACTCAGAGATCCGCCTTCTTCTGCCTCCCAAGTGCTGGGATTAAAGGCATGCATCACCATGCCTGCCTAAAAATAATTTTTTTTAAAAAAAATTTAAAGAAATGTACAACTTGACAATTTTAAAATTAGCCAAATACCTAGCCATAACAAGGAAGCATTGTAACAGAAGCCAAAATCAGCAGTTACCAGATGGTCACTGAATAACAGGGTGGTCTCATACTACATGTCAAGGTGACCTGATATAGCAATCAAGTTACAGAAGCAAAACAAGCAGTTAGCCAGATGCAGGACATTCTGTGGTTTTGTGGTTAGGCCATTTTCTCAGAACTCAAGGTTGCTCCCCTTTCTGGGTATTTCCCATAAGTAGGCAAAATGGAGTAACTTGGGCCAGGGTTGCTAATACTATTCCTTATTCCTGTTGAGAGTAAGGTTAATTCTTTGACCTATTTTAAGTTTTCTTCTTGTATTTCTCCAATCAGTACAAGTTGTTCTTACTGGCTTCTTACTACCATAAGTTTAACTGCCTGGAAACTCTGATTGACGAATTTTACAAGAGCATTTAGGATACAAGGCCCAAAGGTGAGTGTCAGAATAATAGGGACTAATGGCCCCACAAGCAACAGCACTCAATAATGTGGTCAGCCAGGGTGACCAGGAAAATAAGGACTCATACAGTTTTGGTGGGTAACAAATTCCTGTTCCCTGGCATTAATTCTTTGCTGGACCAATCTGATACTATTTCTGATAACTCCAGTATGGTTGGCATAGAAGCAACATTTTTCCTCTAATGTCATGTATAGACCACCTCGTTGCATAAAGACAAGGTCCAGTCCCTGACGATTGTGTAACACTACCTCAGGTAGTAAGTTGAGGGAATAAGTTAGATTTTTAATTTGATTTTCCATGTCTTTTAAGTCCAGGTTTATCTGTCGGGTAAGAGCTTTGAAATTTCTCTCTCCTTTGATTAGGGTGGTTGTCCCTACCCCCATAGCTCCCACTATACCTGTTCCTACTAACATAGGTACCAGAATGGCTGTCATGGCTCCCCTAGGAAAATGAGCACTGATTGGAGATACTACATTTCCATCCTTCTATACCCGAATAGTAGTAGACTTGTGGGATAATGTGAACCAGGATACAGAGTTTACCTGGAGAGGCCAGGAACTTCTGATTTATACAGGGAGTCAGCCCAGAGGTGCCAAGCAAACCAGGTTCCCTCAGTGGGACTAGATAGTATAGCCCTCCTGGGAATGGAGTAAGGGAGGTGGATTGATTACATATCCCTTGGTAATGGGACAGGGATAAGTTATAGGTATAACCATAGAAACAAGTTTCTTTATCTGATAGACTACTAAGGGTGAGTATGGGTTTAGAGCCTCAGGGGCAGAGGTCTCCTTTAAGCACTTTGTCAGTCGCGAGATTCTGGATAAAGGAGGAGTTTGCTCCTACAGACCTAATGGCCCTTATCCCCAGGTAATAAGGGGGTCAGGGGTCTAAGCAGAGCCAGCAATCCTTGGTGAGATCTGGATCAGAAGCATTGAAAAAACTTGGGGGTAGAGTAAGAAATTATATAATTCAGGGGGGTCTCATCGAGAAACATCATTGGGACCAACATAATCAGAAGGAGGTAGGTTTGGTGGTAAGGGAGGGTTGAGGACTTTATTAGGTCCAATGGGCACGGGAGGGATTAGTGGGGTCTCAAATTTCTGAATAGTAAATTCTGTCCCAGGATCCTCTCCCAGGGCATAAAGCCATATCCCCCAGGTCCTTCCCGTGAGCCAACATTTATCATCCCCATTTAATATTTTTTTTGCATTTTAATTTTTATTTGAAAACATTTTTTTTTTTCTTTTTAAAGCAGGGTCTCCCTGTAGCCCCAGCTGTCCTGGAACTCACTATGTAGACCAGGCTGGCATTGAACTCACAGAGATTTGCCTGCCTCTGCCTTCCAAGTGCTGGGACTACAGGTGTGCACCACCACGTCTGGCAAAAACAACTTAAATTTTTAGACAAATGATTTTAGTATATAAAATTGATTTTGTTTTTATATAAAGACTTCCCTCATTAATCTCTCATGTGAAGGGATTACAGGCCAGAAGGAAGACAGTCTGCACACAAAAGTATACCTTGTATGTGTGGCAATGGGAAAGAAGTGTGAAGTGGTCCCGCATGTAACTTAGGATCAAGTGGTGACATTACACATTACGGGAGGAAGAGAAATATTCTAGTTCATCAGATTCAAGAAGCAAATATGACACAAAAACTGCAAAAAAAGATCAAGTCGGCAACTTTAGTTAGGATACTGCAGGTTCTATGGGATGGCTTGTGAGACTATAGTGTGCACACGGAGACAACAGGAGAAAGGCTGCAATGAGGGATACAGTAAGGGACTTCTCACTAAAGCAAATTAACTTCTTGTCAACTGCCAACACAACACAGAAGGAAAATGAGTCTAAGTATCCTGGGAGCGTATACCAGTTTCTGTGCAGCGTGCCAAGTTAGTTACTTCTTCACCAGTGCATGTGAGTCATTAATAGTCACATTTCTGCCTCTTCTTGCCAAATTCAGGCATGTCTTATTTTAGACGGAGTATAGCTTTTATCTATTATTTCACCTTGCAAAAACATATGAAGACAACGTTCATTCTGTGCCAAAGGATGACCAGTGTCCTTGCTTCCTTTCCTCAATAAAATTGTCATCAAACATTCCATCATCTCTTCTAAAAGGAAGCTGCCACAAAAACACTTTCCCAGGGAGTGGGGGAACTACAGCCTTGCTTCCTCTTTCCAATTCACTCCACAGCCATTCAAAGTCACTGTATCTTCTAACAGTAGCTTCTTTCAGCTTGAAGATGGGAAGGTTTGTCTTGACCCTGATCTCGTAGGTGGTGAAGCAGCCCTGGCTGACCCCCACAGTCTGTGGATTGCTCATGTCGATCTCTAGGAAGTGGCTGGGCCGTCATTCAGGTTCTGCGGCTTGGTGATCAGCTGCTAGGTGTCCACTATGCTCTCCCCCATTTAATATTTTTAAGACCAGGGGTTTGAGTTTCCCCACGGTAGTTCCAGCTGTGCCATGTTGGAGGGAAATCCATCTATCCTTTGATCAATCCAGGAGGCAAATGTTTCACAACCCCATGTCCCACAGTGCCATTTATTTTCAAGGTTACAGTCTGGACTCCCATCTGCTGGGCATCCATAAACCTGTAAGTCCTGTAGACCCTTCTCAAAGGGAGTAGACCCACAGGCCCAATCCCTAACAGATGTGGCATGGTAGTAAGTGTGTACAGTGTATACCATCTCAAGTTTGAACAGATCACAGATGTCAAACTGGAGGGTAGGGGTGTAGCTGGTGGTTGTATTGGCAGCTAGGGTTTTCCATCTGAAGCTCTCCTGACTATCCATTTGTAGGAGACTGGTATGTGGGGGTTTTGGTTTCCATTTTCTTTAATAGCTCCCATTACCCAGGAGATAAACACAAAAATTAAGATTCTTTCATCAGTCTGACCTTGAGGGGACTGTCAAGTTCTTTTTACTGTCTATGTTCAGGGAGTGTGGTCCAGATGAGTTCTTTTAACCGGGGAGCAGTGTATCCAGTGGGCCGTCCAGCAACTCTGACAGCAGGTGGAGTCAACAAGAAGATTGGGTACGGGCCCGTCTACTTGGGTTCGAAGTTAGGTGTTTGATGTCTGCGGACCCAGACCCAGTCACCAGGTTCCAAATCTGCCTGATCAGTCATCAGTTGGGGGGAGGGGGGGCAACTGGACTCAGGAGTCTCCCACACTAGCCCTTGCACCTGGCTTAGGGCACTTTGTAGAGCCTGTAATGACTGTAAAACGCTGTGATTAAATATTTTGGCCAAGTGTTCCTCTCCTAAGTGAGGAATGAGAGGCGGGGGTTGTCCAAACAAAATCTCAAGCCAGGTGTGGTGGCTCATGCCTTTAATCCCAGCACTCAGGAGGCAGAGGCAGGTGGATCTCTTTGAGTTCAAGGCCAGCCTGGTCTACATAGTGAGTTCCAGGACTGCTGGGGCTACAGGGAGACCCTGTCTCAAAAAAGACAGAAACAAAACAAAACAAAAAAACACCTCAAAGGGAGTAATTCCCTTTGCATAGGGGGTGCATCCAGCCTTGAGAAGGGTGAAGGGAAAAGTACTTATCCAGTTACCATCAGTCTCTGTTATTAACTTAAAGTCTCCTTGAGGGTCCTATTCATTCTTTCTACCTGACCTGAACTCTGGGCGTGATATGCACAATGCAGCTTCCAGTCTATCTGGAGGACAGAAGCTAAGGATTTAGAGATATGGGCTATGAAAGCCGGGCCATTGTCAGACCCCAGACTGATAGGGATGCCAAATTGAGGTATAATCTTATTTACTAGATTTTTGGCTACTACCTGGGCGGCCTGAGATCTAGTTTGGAATGCCTCAAACCATCCTGAAAAAGTGTCCACTAGGACAACCATATATTTGTAACCATAGACCCCATCAGTTATCTCAGTAAAGTCCAATTTCCAAATTTCTCCTGGTAGTTTGACCCCAGAGTCTGTGTCCTGGAAGAGAAAACTTAGAAGCAGGATTAGTTTGAGCACAAGCCTGACATCTCCGGGCTATGTTCTGGCACATCTGTCTTAAATTGGGAATGTACAAATCCCATTTTGCTAATTCTGTCATTTTGGTAACTCCCATGTGGGTTGCAGAATGTAATTGTTGTAACCAGTCTCTTCCTAGAACTCTTGGGAGGATGGGACTCCCATCTTCCATTAGATACCATCCTTTATCATCCTTTTATCCTTGTAAATCCTTGATGGTGTTGAGGTCAGAGGTTGAGTAAGAGTGAGTCTCAGGTAACACCTGAGTCAGTAGGGCAGTTAAAACTTTTAAGGCTTGTACTGGCCATAAGGCTGCCTCCTTTGCTGTTTGGTCAGCAAAATCATTGCCATTCGCTTCTGTTGAATCTGTCTTTTGGTGCCCTTTACAATGTATAATGGCCACTTGCTTCAGGAGCCACAGAGCCTATAGTAGAGCAAGAATTTCCTATTTTTTATTTATTTATTGTCTTTGAGACAGGGTCTCCTTGTAGCCCCAGCTGTCCTGGAACTCACTATGTAGACCAGGCTGGCCTCGAAGTCAAAAGATCCACCAGCCTCTGCCTCCCAAGTGCTGGGACTAAAGGCGTGTACCACCATGCCCAGCTTCCTTTTTAACATCTTTTCTTTTGGAGGTTAAAAACTCTCTTTCTTTATAGAAGGCCCCATGTACATGTGCAGTGGCAAAGGCATAGCAGCTGTCTGTACAGATGTTTATGGTTTTTCCCTTTGCCCATCTAAGTGCTTCAGTTAAGGTGATAAGCTCAGCCTTCTGTGCTGACGTGCCATGTCCTAGGACCTGGGCCCATAGGATGTCTGTCGGAGTTACTAATACCGCCCCAGCATATCAAACACCTTCCTACTGCCATCAGTGAGTAGCTCGGCATCCACCTTGGGCAAAGGTTGATCCTTTAGGTCTTTCTGTACCCCAGTTAGAGTACTTACTGTCTTTAGACAGTCATGAGAAAGGTGTTCTGCAGTCTGGTTCCACAGGAATGTGGCAGGGTTTAAAGTCTCTGACTTGAGGAAGGTTACACGTGGGGGGGGTCTAGCAGTAGTAGACTGGTACCACGTGATGTTGTGTGTTGGAAATCCATTGGTCAGGAAGGGTGAGCAGCAGCTTCTCTCCACTGCATGGGGGCCAATGATTTGCAGGTCTTGGCCTAGGGTAAGCTTGGAGGCTTCTTTGACCAGGAGGCAGTGGCTGCTATTGCCCTCAGGCAACTGGGCAATCCGGAGACTACTGGATCTAAATGTTTGGACAGGTAGGCCACTGGCCTCCTCCATGGCCCCAAAGTCTGAGTCAAAATTCCTTTGGCTATTCCTTGACTTTCATGTATGAAGAGCAGGAAGGGCTTGGTGACATCAGATAAGACTAGAGCAGGGGCCCGAGGGCCCTTTTAAGCTGTTGAAAGGCTTGATCCTCTGATGGGCCCCAGACAAACTCAATTCCTTCCCTTTCAGTAGAAGCATACAGGGGCTTAGCTATCTCTGCAAAGCCTGGAATACAAAGTCTGCAATACCCTGCTGCCCCCAGGAACTCTTGTATCTGTCTTCTACTCTTGGGGGATGGCCTGGATGCATTCTGGGCCCAGTGACCTTTTTCCTTTGTGGATTTGATACCCCAAATAGCTGACAGGCTCCAAATTCTTTACCAAGGCCTCGGAGGCCTGTTCACAGTCCTCAGGATTGTCTGCTGTTAAAAGTATATCATCAACCTACTGTAAAAGAGACCTCTGGTTGGGTTTCTTTGTAGTTGGTTAGGTCTCATCTCAAAGCCTCATCAAACAGTGTAGGAGAGTTCCTAAACCCTTGTGGGAGCTGTATCCAGGTAAGCTGTCTGCTGTAGGACCCATCAGGGTCAGTCCATTCAAAAGCAAAGATGGGCTGGCTAATCACTGCAATTGGCAAGAAGGCATCCTTCAGGTGAAACAGAGAGTAGGTTTGTCTCTCAGGCCCTAATTCACTGAGGAGGGTGTAGGGGTTAGGCACAGTAGGATGAACCACCTCAACCTGCTTGTTGACCTCCCTCAGGTTCTAGACAGGCCTGAACTCATTAGTCCCAGGTTTAGGTACCAACAGGAGCAGAGTGTTCCATGGAGTGTGGCAGGGGATGGGAATCCCTGCTTCTTGAAGCCTGTTAATATGTTTGGCAATTCCCAGTCTGGCTTGGATGCTGATGGGATATTGCCTTATCCTGATTGGGGCAGCTGTGCTAAGCAGCTGAATTACTAGAGGTGGCTGATGTTTTGCCAATCCTGGGAGGTTAGTTTCTGCCCATACATGAGGAATTTTGGTCCTCCATATTTCTTTCTTTTTTTTTTTTTTTTTGGGGGGGGGGTTTTTTTCAGACAGGGTCTCCCTTTG